CCCCGTCGCTCTCGAGCCATTCATCAAGCGCGGCCCCGTCTCAGGGGCGCCCCCGCGCGGCGGGACGCCAGAGAACGTTCTGCTCAGCAGGACGCACGCACCCAAGGTTGAGGGTGGCTGTTCGTGGGTGACACCAGTGGCACAATTACTCACACCTCCACTAAAGGGGGATGACACATGGCACCCAGCCGAGGTAGGAAAAAAAACTGCAGGTGAGCAGCAACATGCGGGAATCTTCAGAAAGATTTTCGTTGCTCCCTCCTCCCTCCCATCTCCCTTCTCCCTCCCTCCCTCCCTCCCTCCCTCGCTCCCTCCCTCCCTCTCTTCCTTCCTTCCTTCCTTCCTTCCTTCCTTCCTTCCTTCCTTCCTTCCTTCCTTCCTTCCTTCCTTCCTCCCTTCCTTCCTTCCTTCCTTCCTTCCTTCCCTCCTTTCCACCTTCCTTCCCTCCCTCCTTCCTTTCCTCCCTTCCCCTCTCTCTCCCCTTCCTCTCCTTTTTGTACCACACCTGGAGATGCTTAGGGGTTATGCCTGGCTCTGCACTCAGGAATTTTTCCTGGGGGCCTCAGGGGACCATATGGGATGCTGTCAATAATCCCCTCCTTGGTCACATCAAGGCAAATGCCCTCCCCGCTGTGCTATCCTTCTGGCCCTCTGATTCTCCCTCCCTCCCTCCCTCCCTCCCTCCTTCCTTCCTTCCTTCCTTCCTTCCTTCCTTCCTTCCTTCCTTCCTTCCTTCCTTCCTTCTCTCCTTGCTGATGTGATCATAACGGCTGGGACTCACATGCGTGCTTGACGGTGGTGCTCCTGGAGTGCTCCCACCAGGCTGATGTGCTTGCTCTCTGAGCCATATCACAGTGCTTGCTGGGAGCTGTCCTCTTCTGCTGGGATTTGTTTAGGGTTTTAGGGACACACCTGGCTTGCTTGGGGGGGGTACTCTCAGAGCTGCACTAGGGTTCACTGGGACTCACAAGTGACAGTTCTGGCGCTTCCTGGGCTTGGGGCAGAGGCGCTTCCCAGCATGACGCTCGGGGACAGAGATCATTAGTTGTGGTGCTCACCTGGAGTGCTCTCTGGGTTGCACTCCAGGCCACGGTGCTCACACATTTGTATTGTGGTGCTTTGTGGGGGTCCCACACCCAGTGTTGCTCAGGGCTTACTCCTGGCTCTACACTCTGAAACTACTCCTGGCGATGCTCGAGGGGACCGTATGGGATGCTGGGGATTGAACCCGTGCCAGGCAAATGTCCTGCCCACTATACTATCACTCCGGCCAGAGCCAACCTTATTCTTTCTAGCATGAGGGGAGTCCAAAGACATGATTCTTTGACCTCCTTTTTGATGTATGCTTTTATCAATTCATTCTCTTTTGATTCCACTAACTTAATATTATCTCTATACTAGACTTCAGCCTCTAAAATCAGGAATCAGTGTGGGGTGGTTTCTCATCTTCCACTGTTGCCCTCTTTCCTTTTCTCAACCCTCACCATCATATCCTGCTTTGCTTTGTATTTGAGAGGTTTATCAAGGGACTGTTCTGATAAATTTGTTCCCCCAACCCCCCCCCTTTTTTTTTTGCTTTTTGGGTCACACCCGGCGATGCTCAGGGGTTACCCCTGGCTCATGCACTCAGGAATTGCTCCTGGTAGTGCTCAGGGAACCATATGGGGTCCTGGGAATCGAATCTGTGTTGGCCATGTTGGCTGCGTGCAAGGCAAATGCCCTACCCGCTGTGCTATCACTCCAGCCCCCCCCCCAACCCCCTTTTACCTCTCTAGATAATTGAGATCTTACAGGGATTGTCACAGAAGCGCCATCCGTTCACCCACTGAGGCTATTCTAGTTCTGGCCAGCAGGGGGCGGGGCAGACTTGCCAGGCTGGATTCCGTTCTCTTGGTAGACACTTCTTGGCTAATGGGGTTATATCGCTGTAGAACTTTTGTTTGCTTTCTTGCCTGCACCCAGCGGTGCTCAGGGCTTAGTCCTGACGCTATGCTCAGGGATCACTCCTAGAGGTGCTTGGGGGACCCTAAGGGGTGCTGGGAAAAGAACCCTGGGTGGCTGCCTGCAAGACAAGTACCCTACCCACTGTACTCTCTCTCTGGCCCCTGTAGAAATAGTTTTGGTTGGTTTGTTGGTTTATGAGTCACAACTGCCTCTGAACTCAGGAGTTATTCCTGGCGGTGTTCAGGGGGACGATATGGGATGCCGAGGATTGAATCTGGGTCACCCCGGGCGAGGCCTACCTAGGAGCTCTTTTGCTCTGGAAGGCAACACTGCCTGTCTCATCGGCTTGTTCTCCTCTCTCCTTTCTTTCTGGAGAGCCTCTCCTTCCCTGTCACCGGTGATGGTAGAACTCAGAGAGGCGCCTGTGGGCGGGCCTGTCAGGTGCGGGGGAGTCAGGGGAGGAAGGAGATGGAGGCAGACACTTGACCCACTTACTCTCTGGAGGTCATCAGCATCTCGTTTTGTTATTTTTCTTTATTCTTTTTCATTGACTTTTGTTTTATTGTTTGTTTTTGGGCCACAGCTGGATGTAGTTAGGGCTGATTCTTGGCTCTGTGCTCAGGGATCACTTTGGGCAGTGCTCAGAGGCCTTATGTGGTGCTTGGGATCATGCCCAGTTGACGGTGTGGAAGGCGGTACTCACCCCCCTGTACTAGTTCTCTGGTCCCCAAATCAGTTTTTTTTTCTCAGAACTCTCTGTGTTCATACACAGGTTATTCTACGAAGTGGAGTTGTGGTATCATTGAGAGTATGGTTGTTGTTTTTTTTTTGTCAATTTTTTTCTTCTGATTTTGGGGAGGGCGTCACATCTGGTGGGTTCAGGGGCTATGCAGTGCCAGCAATAACCTGGGGTTCCCAAATGCAGAGCATGAGCTTCAGTTCCCTGAACCGCCTTCCCAGTCCCTGGAACGGGCATTAAAAATGATTTTGGGGGCTGGAGCGATAGCACAGCGGGTAGGGCGTTTGCCTTGCACGCAGCCAACATGGCCAACACAGGTTCGATTCCCAGCATCCCATATGGTCCTCCGAGCACCGCCAGGAGTAATTCCTGGGTGTATGAGCCAGGAGTAACCCCTGGGCATCGCCGGGAGTGACCCAAAAAGCAAATAAATAAATAAATAAAGTTTTTAAAAAAATTATTTCGGAGGGGCCAGAGCCATAGTACAGCAAGTAGGACGTTTGCTTTGCATGTGGCCGCCCTGGGTTTGATTCCTGGCGTCCCATAGGGTCCCCCGAGCACTGCTAGGAGTCATTTCTGAGTGCAGAGTCAGGAATAACCTCAGCATCATCAGGGTGGGGCCTCCTCCCAAAATGATTTTGGAACATTCGCCCACTGCCTTCCGGGTGAGATTAACTTTCAGCCTCCACACCTGGCCGCCGCCACTCCGCCGGGCCCAGCACGGTGCTCACAGTTTTACTTCCGTTCACTGGGTGAAGACGAGCAGGGGAGAGTCAGTGTAGCCTGATTCTGCAGAGTCCCAGGGAGGGCTAAACTAGAGACTCAGCATAGCAGGAGCCCTGCAAACCAAGGGCTATTTTTTAAATCGATTTATTTATTTTTTGCTAAGCAAATTAAACAATAACTAACTGCTAGCACACAGCTCGTCAAAAGAGACATCTCCACCTCTATTTTTTGGCTTTTTGGGTCACACTTGGTGATGCACAGGGGTTTCTCCTGCCTCTGCACTCAGGAATCACCCCTGGCGGCGCTCAGGGGACCCTATGGGATGCTGGGAATCAAACCCGGGTAGGCTGCATGCAAGGCAAATGCCCTACCTGCTGTGCTATCACTCCAACCCCATCACCTCTATTTTTGTTTACATTGTTCAGTGACTGAATTTTGACAGATGTCGTATCTGTTGGATCGAGTTGAACTTTGTGTGAATTTTCCCTTTCCTGCTTCCACCGGGACAGTGTGCCTTTCCCAACGGCTGGCCTTTCCCTTTTCTTATTCAGTTCAGCCTCTTTCTGACCTTTGCCTGCTTTCTGGCCTAGAGGCGACCTTTTGATATTGGCACAGTGGCATTGATATATATTTTTAAACAAATTAATTCCTTTTTCCCTTTCTCTGGGTTTTTTTTTTTTTTTTTTTTTTTTGGCCATCCGAAGCAGTGCTTGGATGGGCTCTGCACTCAGGGGTCAGTCCTGGCACGGTTTGGGGAACCAAATGCATTGCCGGGATTCCAACCCAGGTCAGCCTCATGCAAGGAGAAATGGGCATTCCGACCCATTCTTTTACCTATATGTGGCAAACGTCTCTTCACAAGCTGCCGTCTCTTCACAATCCACCTTGGATACAATGTCTTTTACCCTGGAAGTTTGAGGGTTCTGGCCCAGGGATGTGATCTCTGAGCCTGCGTGCCCCGTTCCTCCGGCCGTTCTGGTTTCCTTTGCTTTCTGGGGGGTTTCTGAGTCCACACCCATCAATGCTCAGAGCTTACTCCTGACTCCGTGCTCAGGGATCACTCCTGATGGGGTCAGGCGACCCTCTGCTGTGCTGGGGGTTGAACCAGGGTTGGACAGCGAGGCCACTCTCCTCCCCTTATACCATCTCTCCGGGTCCTGGGTCCCCTTAGCCATCCCCATTCTCCACGCTCACCAGGGGAGGCTCCTTGGGGTCGTGCTCTGAAGCCCGCATGGCTTTATCTAATGGGATGAACCGACTAAAGAGATTAGCCAGAGGCTGTGTGCCTCCCGCTTTTAATCTGCAGTGCCCGGGGCTCCCCTCTGGGTCGGGAAGGAAGCAGCAGAAACTGCAGACACTGAAAGAGCCTGCAAGAGTCTGGGAAGACTAAGCCGTTAACAAGGTGGGGGGGAGGCGGGGGTGGTCTCGACTCTGACTCTGGGGGGCTCAACATGGATAGCCCCTGGGACGGCTCCCTGCAGCTCGGACCCCTGGCCCCGTGCCCTGGGCCCTGAGTCCCCAGCCCCAGGACTGGAGCAAGTGGGGAGAGGCAGCTGAGCTGTGGGACGTCCCCCAGAACCAGCCCGCCAACATGGCACTGCTCAAAGTCAAGTTTGACCAGAAGAAACGGGTCAAGTTGGCCCAAGGGCTCTGGCTCCTGAACTGGTTCTCGGTGCTGGCGGGCATTCTCCTCTTCAGCCTGGGCCTGTTCCTCAAGATCGAGCTCCGGAAGAGGAGCGACGTGATGGATAACGCCGAGAGTCACTTTGTGCCCAACTCCTTGATCGCCATGGGGGCGTTGGCCTTCGCCTGCAACTCCCTGGCCGGCAAGATCTGCTACGATGCCCTGGACCCCGCCAAGTTCGCCCGGTGGCAGCCGTGGCTGAAGCCCTACCTGGCGGGCTGCGTCCTCTTCCACGCCGCCCTCCTCCTTGTGGCCCTCTGCTGCTTCCTGCTCCAGGGCTCGCTGGACGCCACGCTGGAGCAGGGGCTCCGGAACAGCATGAAATACTACCGGGACACGGACACGCCCGGCCGGTGCTTCATGAAGAAGACGCTGGACCTGCTGCAGATCGAGTTCAAGTGCTGCGGTAACAACGGCTTTCGGGACTGGTTCGAGATCCAGTGGATCAGCAACCGCTACCTGGACTTCTCCTCCAAGGAAGTCAAAGAGTGAGTGGCCAGCCCCGCGGGCTCCGGGGACTGCGAGTGACACCCTCTGTTCCCTTGCCCTCTCCTCCCCATGGGGTGCTCTGTCCGTACAAGTTATCCCAGCATGCCGAAAGGTGTCCTACGTGGGGCCCTCGGGAGGGGACCGTAGATTACCTTTGCGGGGTTCCCGACCACGACTCAGAGAGCCTGGGGTCTCTCTTGGTGATGCTCAACCATCCGGATCCGGTGGTGCTGTTCGGGCCCAGTGGAGTTGGGGGCCATCTGGGCCAGACCTGGTGGTGCGTGGGGAAGCATGGGGGACCAGGGGCTGAACCTGGGTCCTTGTATGTGCAAAACAAGGACTCCAGTCCTTGGAGCCATCTCCCTGCTCGATAATCTAGCTTTGAAAAAAAGACTATATACCAGGTCAGCCTTAGGCAAGTAAGCACCGTAATCACTCTCCAATCTCTCCGGGCCTGTTTCCTTCCTGCTGTCAATGAATTCTGCAATGTCCTTGGCTGAGGATGTCAAGCCTTAGAAGCTGCTTTGAGGTGCCTCCAGACAGGAGTGCCAGCAGGAATGAGGTTGCTCTGAGATCACCCAAGACCTCCAGCCACCGGCATGAAGCCATGCCTGGCCGCAGGTGTAGAGCAGTTGAGCTCACTGGTGGCCGGTCCTTGGGGTGTCTGCAGAGGGTGTGGGTGTAAGAAGGCTGAAGAGCTGCCCTGTGGGAGATTTCTCTGTCACTCCTATCAACTGTGCACAGATGACAGATTTGGCCTGGAAGTGTTAAGTTCCCTTTTCCCCAGCCTTGTCACACTGAGGGTCCACACTCAAGGACTTGGACCTTGGGTCTGGAGGTGACCAGGGCGCCCAGGCTGTCCTGGAGCCATCCTGTGCCACCCTGGGGCTTCTCCTCTGGACTGAGACATGACCACCTCCCGGCACACAGTGAGGCTGGTGCGATGCCCGTGGTGCTTCAGCGCTTGATGCCTGAGGGCATACGCCAGTGGGGCCTGTGTGTCCCCAACAGCAAACGTTCCCTCTAGAGTGAGACCCTCACCCCCGTGCCAGCAATGGCAGGCAGGGCCACCCTTTCTCCCTCCCCCGTTGCCCTCGCTGAGGCCTGGGACTCAGGGCTGATGCGGGGAGGCTGGCGGGTGCCAGGGGATTTGCACTCGGGCTGGCCACACACTCGGAGCTCCAGATGGCTGGCGGCTGTCCCGAGGGAGAAAGGAAGTCGGACTGAAGGTCACTGCATGGTTTTAGTTCTCAGGGTGAGGTGGTGGTGGGGGGATTAGTGTTGCAAATCCCTCCTCAAGGAGAGGTTGGTAAAGAGCTCGCCTCCCCCAGAGAGCGGGCACGCAGGATGGCACTGGGTAGCATGACTTACATCCGTTTCTTGAAGCCAAAGGGACAAGTAGAACTCCTAAGGACAGGGCCGGGAGCCATAGACCAGCGGGTTAGGCCCTTCCCTTGCGTATGGCTGCCTGGTGTTGGATCCCCAGCACCCTATATGCTTCTCCCTAGCCCACCAAGAGTGGTCCCTGAGTGCTGAGCCAGGAGTTAGCCCTGAGCACTGCTGGGTGTGCCCCATTCCCACTCCCAACAAACGAAAGAATACCTGGGGATGAGTATGAGGGAACAGGAGCGACTCGGCCTCTGTGAGTGGCTGAGAAAAGTCTTTCTGCCTTTCCCCGCAAGTTCCCTCGATTTTCTTCTGCACAGAGAAATAGATCTTAGAGAATTAGATCTCTCCAGAGTCCTCAGTCCCCGCTAGCCCCAGAGAGGAGGAATTTTCCAGGCGTTTGCCTGCCTCATGGTCCACGCTTTGGAAAGTTCAAACCAACAGTCGCCCAGCTCAGAACTGCTTTAACCCCCTGTTCTAGGTTACTGGGGTGAGAGGGTCCTTCCTTTCCTGGGCTTGGTGAAGGTTTGCTCTGTTTAAAATCATGGCGAGGGGGCTGGAGTGACAGCGCAGCAGGTAGGGTGTTTGCCTTGCACACGGCCGACCCGGGTTCGATTCCCAGCATCCCATAGGGTCCCCTGAGCGCTGCCAGGAGTGATTCCTGAGTGCAGAGCCAGGAGTAACCCCGGTGCATCGCCGGGTGTGACCCAAAAAGAAAAAATAAATAAAATTATGGTGAGAAACTGAAGAAAAACGGAAAAGGGAAATCCAGATTCTGTTTTGTTATTGTTATTTTGTTTGGGGGCCACACTCGGCGATGCTCAGGGGTTACTCCTGGTAGTGCCTAGGGCAGCACATGGGATGTCTGGAATCGAACCCCGGCCTGCTGCGTGCAAGGGTAAGCTCTGCCCTATCACTCCACCCAAAATCCAGATTCTCCTACCAGCGGATCAGCAGCTGTTTACTTACTTACTTACTTAATCTACTTTATTTACCGCAGAGCCTGGCAAGCTCCCTGTGGGTGGCATACTCGATATTCCAAAAACAGTAACAATAAAGGGGTCTCATTCCCCTGACCCTGAAAGAGCCTTCAATATGGCACCCTTGGGAAGGACGAGTAAGGAGAGGCTGCTAAAGTCTCAGGGCTGGGACGAATAGAGACGTTACTGGCACCCGCGAGAGTAAATTGATGAACAACAGGATGACAGTGATACAGTGATACTTACTTTATCTATGGTGCTCAGGGCACCACTAAGGGCGGGAGATCAAGCCGGTAAATCTACAGTAAAGGATTCAGTGAAAATCTACGGTAAAGGATTCAGTGCAGGGGCTGGAGAGAGAGCACAGCGGGTAGGGCATTTGCCCTGCACGCGGCCGACCCGGGTTCGATTCCCAGCATCCCATATGGTCCCCTGAGCACCGCCAGGAGTAACGCCTTGCACGTGGCCAACCCAGGTTTGGTCCCAGGTAGCCTATGTGGTCCCCAACGCTCCACCAGGAGTGATCCCTGAGCACAGAGAGAGCCTGGAGTAAGCCCTGTGCATCCCAGGTGTGACCCAAAAAGCAAAAAAAAAAAAAGGATTCAGTGCAGTAAAGGATTCAGTACCCCACTTGTCATTTTGTAGTATAATTTGTATCACCTCAGAACCACCGTTTCCCCCAACCTTCCTGATTATTTTTTATTTTGGGGCCAAACCCAGTGGTGCACAGGGCTTACTCCAGGCTCTCTGTGCTCAGGGATCACGCCTGGTGGAGCGCTGGGGACCACATAGGCTACCTGGGACCAAACCTGGGTTGGCCACGTGCAAGGGAAATGCCCTGCCTGCTTAACTATCACTCTGCCCTCCAACCCCCCAGCCTTCCTGAGACATGATTGTCATATGACGTTGCAAATTCCAGCTGCTCCACATGCTGATGGAAACACACCTAATCTAAACAGCAACACGGTATCAGCAAAGCCTGAGCTGATGGTACATCACAGTCATCTCATGTCATTTTTTTGCAGTGAGGTCTTATTCATTTACGTATTTATTGTGGAGTTGGGGCAGAAATCTAGGGCCTACAATGTGAAGGACAAGTGTTCTGAGCCATGTCCCTGGACTTTTTAATGTTATATTTTGGGGGGAAGAATTTCTTAATTTTTATTTAAAATGTTTAAAAATTGGGGCTGGAGCAATAGCACAGCGGGTAGGGCATGTGCCTTGCACATGGCCGACCCAGGTTCAATTCCCAGCATCCCATATGGTCCCCTGAGCACTACCAGGGGTAATTCCTGAGTGCAGAGCCAGGAGTAACTCCTGTGCATCACCGGGTGTGACCCAAAAAGCAAATAAATAAATAAATAAATAAATTTTTAAAAATTTACTTTTTTAACTGAATCACCATGAGATACACAATTACAAAGTTGTTCATGATTGGGTTTCAGTCATACAATGTTCCAACACCCGTCCCTTCACCAGAGTATATTTCCCACCACCAGTGTCCTCAGTTTCTCTCCCCTCACCCCCACCTGCCTTTATGGCAGATTGGCAGATACTCTTTCTCGCTCTCTCTGTCTTTCTCTCTTTCTCTCTCTCTCTGTCTGTCTCTGTCTCTCTCTATTTTTCTCTCTATCTATCTTGGGAGATTTTTTCATTTGTTGCTTAATTAGCACAGCGGTAGGGCGTTCGCCTTACAAGCGGCCAACATGGCCGACCCGAGTTCGATTCCTCCACCCCTCTCGGAGAGCCCGGCAAGCTACCGAGAGTATTCGATATGCCAGACACAGTAACAACAAAGTCTCCAATGGAGACGTTACTGGGCCCGCTCGAGCAAATCGACGATCAACGGGAGGGCCTTTACCTTTACCTTTACCTTTTAACCATATCACCATGAGATATGCAATTCCAAAGTTGCCCATGACTGGGTTTCAGTCATACAATGTCCCAACACCTGTCCCTCCATCAGTGCACATTTCCCACCACCAGGGTCCCCAGGGTCCCTCCGCCAGCGGAGAGTTTTGAAGGTAATTCTCCCTGGCAAGTTTCAAGTATTTCCGGTGGGAAGCTGCCTGGCCGACTCTCAGATCACTCATCGTGTTGCTGGAAGTGGATATTCTTAGACATCATCCCCTCTGAATACTCCCCAGACTTTTGTCACGACTATTTTTATCTGCTTCCATTCATGTGGTGTTTTTTCTTTTCTTTTCTTTCTTTTTTTTTTTGAGTGGGGGGTGGGGTGGGGTCACACCCAGCACTGCTCAGGGCTGACTCCTGTCCCTGCACTCAGTGATCGCTCCTGGCAGTGCTCAGGCGACCATATGGGATGCTGAGGATTGAACCCAGGTTGGCTGGCGTGCAAGGCAAACGCTCTACCCGCTGTGCTATCGCTCCAGCCTCACAAGGAATTTTGCAGCCGTTCAGTGTTGAATCAACTGAACTAAGGGTTGGCCGCACGCCCCGGGGAAGGGTCTCTGCTGCCCATCTACCACCAATAACGCGAGGCTGTGCCTCTTCTGCTCTCGTTGCTGTCACTGAGGCAGGGGCTCACACTTCGTCAGGGCAGTGGGGACGGCACCCCGGTGATGTGACTTGACTGGTGCCCGAGACCAAACTTGGACCCTCATGTCTGCAAG